TGAATGAATGACATTAACCCTTCTGATTGTTTGAAACATATTGCGCTGAGAATTAATGTCTGACAGAGATCAGGTTTTGTTATAAGGTTAGTTTTCGACGGCAGGCCACCAAAATGTCACCATGATCCATTTTCCAATGTGACATTTTGTAATTGAAAGTGTGTGGGTGTGGCTCTGACTTTTGCAGAGTATTTAAACGTTCACTGCTCTGAGATTCTCACATTTTCAAAAACAGGCTTAATGGAAATTGAATTGTGTGAAGCCTCCGTGCTCCCTGTTTGAGACAAATGGTTTTGAGGGAGAGACAGTAACTGCTCTTTCCACGCCGTTGCTGTGTTTCCAAATTAATAGGCTTGCGCGGAGTTGGATATGCTGAAATCCATCAAAAAATCCATTGAGCTATCACGAAAAGAGTTTGATTTCTCAGTTAATTTATAACCATCCTTTCCAAGCCCACGCTTTCTCAAACAAATTTCCTCTGGCAAAAACACATAAAATGTATTCTCTGAACTAGGTCATTTTTATTCATCAGATCCCACATCTACCACAGCTAGGTGTTTGCTTGTAGAGATGGGATCTTACTATGTTGCCCAGGCCTCAAATAATTCTCCCCCCTCAGCCTCCCAAAATGCTGGGATTACAGCCCTGAGCCACCACACCCAGTCAACAGCTGGGTGTTTTGTTATTGGCTGAATTAAACTGATGTATTCCAGTGAGTAGAGGCAGGGCTATGGGGTCAGACAGTCCCAGGTAAATCTGTGACCAAGGCCAGACACCATAACCTCTCGGAACTCCTTGCCTCATCTCTGAAAGAGGAGGTGCCCTACTTTGGATGGTTTTGCAGATCAAGGGATAATGTGCCCATCAGGACATCTCACCCGACAGCCCCAGACTACTACCACTTCCTCCTTGGGGGAGGGAGTCCAGCAACTCCCTGGAGCACAGCACAGCTGGTTCTGGAGCCCGGATCCCCCGCCAGGAGAGCTGAGACCTGGTTGGAGAAGGATCTGATGGCTTGGAGGTCTTGACCTTTCGCTACCCACAAGGCCTTGCTCACCTGCAGTGCCGAGTGGAAGATGCATTGTCACTCCCAGTGTGCTCTGAGATCTGGGTCTGTCGGTGATATGAGTAGGAACTCTGCAGGCAACAGAAACCCACTTAGGGTAGCCCAGGCAAGTTTTAAAAAGGAGGGAAAATGGCGGTGCTGCGGTTCATGCCTGTAATCCTGGTGCTTTGGGAGGCGAGCCCAGTCTGGGCAACATAGTGAGACTCCATCTCAACAAAATATTTAAAAATTAGCCAGGCATAAGCCGAGCACAGTGGTTCACACCTGTAATCCCAGCACGTTGAGAGGCAGAGGCGAGGGGATTTCCAGAGCCTAGGGGTTCAAAACCAGCTTGGGCAACTTGGCGAGGCCTCATCTCTATAGGAAATCAGAAAAATTAGCTGGGCATGGTGGCACGCACCTGTAGTTTCAGCTACTTGGAAAGCTGAAGCGGAAGGATTGCCTGAGCCCAGCGGGTCAAGGCCGCAATGGCCATGAGCATGCCACTGCACTCCAGCCTGGGTGACAGAGTGAGAGTCCAACTCAAAAAAAAAAAAAATTAGCCAGGCGTAGGGGTTTACACCTGTAGTTTCAGCTATGTGGGAGGCTGAGGCAGGAGGACTGCTTAAGTCCAGAAGGTTGAGGCCGCAGTGAGCTATGATCACACCTCCGCACTCCAGTCTGAGTGACAGAGTGAGATCTTCTATCTACTTAAAAAAATAAAAATAAATGTAAAAGGAGGAACATGGAGGGATGCCTCTGGACTTTCTCACAAAGGCGTTGTTAACGGTGGGAACACTTGTCCACTCCTGGTATTTCCTTCTACCTGGAGGGACATCTGTGAGCCTAGCTCTGCTGACATTCCCCACACCTCCTCCTCGCGTCCGGGGATGGGGACATGGAATGAGCCTGGCAGGTGCTGCATCCACACATGGTGGGGACCCGGGCTCCAGATGGAGCCATGCGGTCTCTTACACCCAGGACCCTGTTCTCTTGCTGCTGCCTCTGTTAGCACAGGCCGCGTTCTCCACCTACAGGCCTTGCTTTGAGGCTGGCTCCCCTCACGGGGCGGAGGGTGCCTAACCCCACCCCTCCCAAGACTCTGGCCCAGCCTGGTCCAGCCAGCCGGGGCCAGGTCACACGTAACCGGCGTGGTGCCAGGGTCACATCCCTGTAGTGGAGGAGGAGTTTGTTTTTGTTTTTTTGAGTCGGAGTCTCACTCTGTCATTCAGACTGGAGTGCAGTGGCCACTCCCAGCCACCGCAGCCTCGCCCCGCTGGGCTCCGGCGATCCCGCCGCCTCAGCCTTCCGAGAAGCCAGAATTACAGGCATGCACTACCACACCCGGCTGATTTTTTTGATTTATTGTAGAGGTGAGGTCTCGCCAACTTGCCCTGGTGGGTCTCGAACCCGCGGGCTCAGGCAATCCACTCACCTCAGCCTCCCAAAGGCGTGGGATTACAGGCTGAGCCACCGAGTCCGGCTAGGTTGGCTGCTTTCAATGTCCATGTGAGAGGAATCGCATAGTATTTGACTGGGGTCTTTCACTTAGTGTAGTGTCCTCTGGCTTCAGTCACGTTGTCACATGTGACAGAATATCCTCTCTTTAAGACGGAATAATATTCCATCGTGTGAACACACCACATTTTCCCTCATTCATCTGTCGATGGACATCTAGATTGTGCCCACCTCTTGGCTGTTGTAAATAATGCCGCAACGAACATGGGCTAAACGACATCGCTTCTGAGTCTCAGTGTCCTCGTCTATGGAATGAGGAGAACCATGTCTACCCTGTTGCAAACATCCTTGAAGTTGCCAGTGTGCAACAGAAGCTTGATAAGCCGTGTTCCTAGCACCTTCTACTCTTCCTTCCAAACATATGCTCCTGTTTGTGTTGTTTTATTATCTTTGTTCCTCATGAGGATGTAAGCTCCACGCCTGCCTCATTCTCTCCTGTGTGTGCAGCTTGGGAAATGGGGCTTGGTACAAAGACGATGCTCATTGGAGGAGTCGTTGCAAAATGAATGGATGGACTTGTACAGAGTGCTGGGACTCAGTATTTTGTAAAAGGGTGTGGGTGGCTGACTCTGGGGTCACACAGATCTGCGTTCTGTTTTCAGACCCACCACTCAGCCTCGCTGTGCCTCGGTTCCCTCATCTGTACAAAAGGAGACCACGTGGCGTTGCTACGTGCGTGGTTATAATAATAAATGTTCTAACTCTTTCTCTGTCATGGGAGGACCTAGTGAGAAGGTCGCTGTCTGCAAGCCAGGAAGGGAGCCCTCACTGGAAACTGCTTCAGCTGGTGCCTTGATTCTGGACATCCCAGCTCTACAACTACCAGGAAATCAAAGTCTATTGTTTAAGTTGGAAAAAAGTCATATTCATAGTACTGCATATAAAGTGTGTGGTATGTGTGGCACACAGAAAGGACCCGGGGTGCATGAAGAGAAGTGAGACACAGACAGTCCCATCATTATTCTGAGATAACAGATTTGATTTTGAGATACAATACCATTTATGTAAGCCAAATAATAAAACAGGTATTGAGCAGAAAGATCCACAAACAGAAAGACGCGTAGAGAACAGCTTGGAATGGTGGCCTGGGGAGAGGGGACAAGAAGTGGGAAAGGGAAAAGGAAGCATACAAACTGAGGGTGGATGGCTCAGCCTGTAATCCCGCGCCTTGGGAGGCTGAGGTGAGTGGATTGCCTGAGCCCGCGGGTTCGAGATCTGC